TTTTTTAAATATTGATGTCTTATAAACTTTAGAAAATCAATTTGTTGTTAATCACAAAATAACTTGAGATTTTGTTTAGTTCAGTATTTGTTTCCTTCAGCCCCCGTTTTTGTGGTTGACGGTTTGAGTGGTAGTCCATAGTGGACTCCTTTGCAGAGACAGCAAGTGTGATGAAACACTCAGGGTTTGCAGATCGGGGAAGACGGTGAGTAGAAGCGCTTAGAGCTGGGTAGGTGATTAGAGATTCCTAAGAGGTGGAGGGACGTTGAGGCACCGGGCACAAGTATTCCTTCAGTAGCATTTGTCTCTGTGTAGTGCATTGTTTTCAATTCTTTCACTTTTCATGATCTAGGAATGTCTTTATCTTCATCACAGACTCCATAAAAAACTAACAGTTTGGGCGTGTGCTCTAGAGATGGCTCAGCAGTTAAAAGCACTTGGAGGGGGGCATTCAGTTCCCACTACCCACAAAGAGGCTCACAATCACCTATAACTCCAGTTCCACAGGACCTAATGCCTCTTCTGTTCTTCTTGGACATTGGGCACACATGTGCACATTTGTACATGGAGACATTTACACATACACATAATATATAAAAAAATTAAAACTAATTTAAGCAAACGTTGAAAACAAAGCCATTTCAAACACTGTGTATAGAATCTGTAAGAGAAAACATGCAGCACTGAGTGAGTAAGCCATATTCTCAGGATCCTGTAGTAACAGGTTTCCATTTCAATAGCTAACTTGCTGTTTGTTTGGGTATTTTATTGGGTTCAGAAATAGAATTTGGTCTGTGCTGTTATTTGCTTTGTTGGATGTTGCTGCCCTCTGTTGGACTTTCTTGGGAACTGCAGCTTTTCTGCCTGGCTTATTTCTGTGGTCCTTATTCCAAGTTGAACACTGAAACATGGCTTATTTTATTTTGTTTCTTTATTTGTTTTAGTATATATTTTTTGAAACAAGGTCTCACATATCTTAGTCTGTCCTTGATCTCACTGTGTAGCCAGGGATGATATTGAACCCCTGACTCTCCTGCTTTCATGTCTCTATTATAGATGGACATCACTGTGTAAGATTTATGTGGTGTTGAGCGCAAACCCAGAACCCTCCTTCATGCTTGGCAAGCCCTCTACCAGATGAGCACATCCGAGGCCTCCAAAAATTATTTTTAATCATTTTTATAATGATGCTCCAGGAAAGCAAGGGAAACGGGCGTTTTCTTTCTTTGGAATGTTTGTGTGTGTTTACTTATATATGACAGAATTACTGTGAATGAAATGGGAAGAAAGCAGAAGAATATGGGAACACAGATTTGAGAGCTCTGGGATCTGAAGACTTGTAGTCACGTGACTGATGATTCACTCTACCTGTCTGGGTGTTAGATTCTTCAGTGACAGAATGAAGAGGTGGGATGGGTGGATGGTGAGGGCTTTCCAAGGACTGGCTTTTCAGGTCCCTGGCTCTACACTCCAGGAACTTTTTAGTCTGGAAGGCAGTAGAGCAGGCAATCAAAAGAAAATGGCAGCCCACTCTCAGTACTGTGAGTCAGAGAGGGAGCTATTATTTCGGAAACACCAGGAAAGGCACCTATCCAAGAGGAGCAGCCATCCTACCAGTCCTGCTGGGGTTAGTTAGCCTCAGTGTAGGCTGAGGGAGGCAGCAGTCTAGGGAAAGGCTGGGGGCGGGGGGTAAGGCAGCACGAGCTGTGTGGACCTGCAGCTAACCAGGTCAGCATGTCCAAAAAATAAGCATTTGAAGGAAGAGGGTTTGTTCAGTGGAAGCCTTGCGGGGAGGGGTAGCAGAGTCAGATACCATGGTAAAGAGTTTGGATTTTTAGTTGAAAGCAATGAATTTGTTTGTTTTGGAGACAGTCTCTTGTAGCCCAGGCTGGTGGGACTTCTTACATAGTTGAGGATGATTTTGAATTCCTTATTTTTTCATCTCCTTTCTAGTGCTGGGACTACAGATGTGTTCCACCCCACCCAGCTTTAGGGAGAGTATTCTCAGATCAGATTTGGAGAATGGATATGGTGTAGGCCAGACAACTGAAGGCACCCGATAGTTTCAGAGGCCATTGCAGTGTGCAGGCAGGGACCCAGGGTAGTGGAAGTGGGTGGAAGAGAGATGAACCGGGAGTCTGCGCACAGAAAGAACTGGGTGCTAGTCTCTTTAACTCACCCACTGCCGGGGATTGTCTAGATCCGGGTTCTGTTACCTAGATCACATGCATCTCAGAGTTCCTTGGCTGTTTCTTGGTGTTTAAGAGAACATTCTTAATTTGGGGGCCAGTGTTGAGATAAGATGAACCTTGGCTACGACAACTTAAGCTGCAGGAAGTTGCATCTCTTTGTGGCTTGTTTCTAGATGCCACTTACATCACTTAAGCCCTACAGTGCTTGCATACAGTTACTGTTAGTTTCAGTGTGTTGACCTATGAAGCTGCAGCTTATTGCTGCTGCCCACCCCTGTCAGACAGGAACCCTTTCCATGTAAGCTTGGGTTGGTCTTGAACCCGATGTGTAGCCCTGGCTGCCTTGAACTTTGAATCCTTTTGTTTTAACTTCTGGAATGCTAGAATTACAGGTGTGCATAATCACCTCTGTGTGCCAGGTGACTGAGGGATACAAGATAAGGAAATACTTTGCAGTCTTCTTGGGTAGTGCTTTCTCATCCTCCTGTCTGTACTCCCAATAAACAGTACATGTGAAGTTCATGGGTGCTGAGCAAGGTTCCCGTGTTCTCAGACAAGTGGTTAGTGCTCAGCCAGTGTGTGTGTGTGTGTGTGTGTGTGTGTGTGTGTGTGTGTGTGTGTGTGATTACATGTAGAAGAAAATAGAAAGCACCTATTAATTATAAACTTAACACCTATGTAATTACTGTCCATGTCAAGAAGTAGAAAATTATAAACACTCCAGAAAACCTATTTGTCCTCTTCCTTGGTCATAACCAATAGTTGTCACAGTTAATCACTTTTGGATATTTGAGATAATCATGCCCTTTATAATTTTTTGTTTGTTTGTTTTTGTTTGTTCGAGACAGGGTTTCTCTATTTAGCCCTGGCTGTCCTGGAACTTGCTTTGTAGGACTGGCCTCAAACTCAGAGAGAGAATGCTGGGATTAAAGGTGTATGCCACCACACCCGACACACTTTTGTTGATTGGTTGATTGATTGATTGATTGATTTTACACTCCAAAGTTTCCCTTCCCTCCCCTCTTCCCAGTTCCCCCTCCACCCCATCCCATCCACTGCTCCTCCACTCCTTCACAGGAGAGGGGAAAGCATGGATATCAGCCAGCCCAAGGTATACCAAGTTTCCGTGAGACTAGGTGCCTCCTCTTCTATTAAGGCTGCATGAGGCAATCTGGTAGGAGGAATGGGTCCCCAAAGCTGGCAGCACAGTCAGAGACAGCCCCTGCTCTCACTGTTGGGAGTCTCACACAAAGACCAGGTTAGACAGCTGTAACATGGGCCTACATCAGTCCAATGCAGGTTCCCTGGTTGTTGGTTAAGTCCTTGAGCGCCTGTGAGCCCAGGTTAGTTGGTTCTGTGGGTTTTCTTGGGAGCCCTTGACACCACTGGCTCCTATAATCCTACCTCCCCTTCTTCTGCAGGATTCCCTGCAGAGATCCGCCTAGTGTTTGGCTCTGGATCTCTGCATCTGTTTCCATCAGTTGCTGGGCGAAGCCTTTCTTATGACAGTTGGACTAGGCACTAATCTATGAATATAGATCAATATCAATATGAATATAGAACAATTAGGAATAATTTCACCGATTTTTTTTTTCTTTTTGTGTTTGGTTCTATCCTGTATCTCTGGGGTTTCCTGGCTCTGGGTCCTGGCCCTCAGGGGTGAGCTCCCTCTTAGGGTCTGGGTCTCCATCTGTACTGGTCATTAGTTGGTCACTTCCATAATTTCAGTGCTGTCTTTACCCCAGCTCATCTTGTAGGCAGGACACATTGTAGGTCTGGAGCCCTTTATAATCTTACATCCCAAGTAATGTGGTTTTACATGTTCTTAACATTAGTGTCAGTGGATGAACTATTCTGTGTATTTGTGAGTAGCTGAAAGTTTATTCACTTTCTTTGAATAGCTGTTTTCCATTGGACTGATGTTGTCTCTTAACTATTTAGATTTCCTGTTTCAGGTGTTACAATATGTCTGTGCATGCTTTTATTCTTTATACTTAGTACTTTATACTTATTTATACTTAAGTGCACATTTCAGCAGGGCAGATACTTATAAATTGCTATGTTGAATTATAATATATATACATTTTATTTCACCTGATGATGTTGGCCCAGTAGTTTGTGCAAACCCCAGCAAAGTATGAGAGAGCCATTGTTCCTCTACAACTAGACAGATAAAAAAAGCTAGGGATCAGACCCAGCGTCCTATATATACAATCTGTGTTTCTATCAGTCTTGAGAGTATGAGCTGATAACTTCATTATTATGATTTTATCTATTTATTTACTTATTGCTTGGACCCAAACCCTGGGCTTTTGCATGCCAGGCAAGGACTCCACCACTGCCTTTTAACCCATCCTCATCTTCCTTTTAAAATTTTGACGGAGTCTTGTATTTCATGGTCTGCCTTGGATTCACTCACTAGCCCACACAGATTTTGAATTCACAACCTCTTGCCTTAGCCTCCCAAGTAGCTAGGATTACAGGTTTGTACCACTAGGCCAGGCTTCAGATTTTATTTTGTGTTTCCTTGTTTACTGATGAAATTGAGCACTTTTCCTAAGTTGGTTGGCCATTGGTTTTAAAATCGGTTCAATTCTTCACTCTCCCACCACGTGAGTCTTATGTTACTGTTCTTGTGACTCCTCCTGTTCCTTTCCAGAGCCTGTATCTGTTAGCCTGTGGAAGGTAGCTTAGGGCTTTCTATTTCTTTCTTTTCCTTTCTCCCTCCAACCATTCTGGTGTTTGGGAGGTTCCTTGATATTCCACTGATCTCTTTTTCTTCTCCCTCCTTTTTTCTCTGTTTCCTAGACTTTGAAGAGGCTCATGGCAGATGAGGTAAGGAAATGTGTATGGGGCATGTGCATGTGCTGGCTCGTTTTCTGCACTCTTAACATTTACCAGTTTTTGTAACTTTAACTTGTTTGTAATGGAGCATGGGTGAGAATACCCCAGATCTTTTCTAACTTTGTTTAACCCATTGCATGCTTTCTTTGTTTTTTTTTTTTTTTTTTTTTTTTTTTTTTTTACTTCTACAGTTGGGCAGTTTTTAACTAGAACTCAATATATCTACTCAGAAGCATGTACACACATGAGGGAAGAGCAGTTCCAGGTTTTAAAGGACAAGCCCTGTGTGATTGGTTATTCATGGTTGTCCACTTGATTATATCTGGAATGGACTACAATCCAGAAGTGAAGGGTACAGTTGTGGTCCTGCATTCTGGATGCCACATGCATACATGCTTTTTTTTTTGTATACAGTTACTGTTATTTTCAGTGGGTTGAGCGGAAGAAGCTGAAGCTTGTTGCTGCTTCCACTCCCCTCAGACAGGGTCCCTTATTATGTAAACTTGTGTTAGCCTTGAACTTGATATTGGTCCTGGCTGCCTGAACTCTCAGCCTTAGCCTCTGGAATGCTGGGATTCCAGGTGTGTGCTACCATACCTGACTCGGTGGCTTTTTTAGAAAGCAGCTCTGCTCACCACTGTATCCCCAATGCTGTACTCCTCAGTGGCTCTTTTTGCTGTGAGCGTTTATATTTAACATTTGAGGATGGTTCATTAGTATTTGTTTAGCAGGGAAATAGCATATGCACCTCTAAAGTAGAATATATTCTTTGCTGAGTAGATGTCATGCAGAGAGATTTAAAAGATACGTTTTGAACTCTGGCTTTTTTCATATATCAAGTGCCATGGAACAAAAGGAAGAGGAAAGATTTTTTTTTTTAATTTTTATTTTTTAAGACATCTGCTTCTTTGTCCACCATAGCTTGTTTATGTTAAACTCTGGTTACAGATACCTCTTGAAGGGAACGATCCTCATGGACCCTGGCCGCATTAGTTATTGGGTAGCTAGAAGGAAACGAAGGACTCTTTACTGAGATAAATTTGTACATGAGATACTTTTGCCTCTGCGCTGTTAAGTAGGCTTAGAACAGCAGGGGAAGTTTAGAACAGTTTTCTTTTTAGAGAGTTTTTAAATTGTTGTTTGTTTTTTGAGACAGAGTCTCCCTACATAGCACTGGCTGACCTGGAACTCACTCTGTAGACCAGGCTGGCCTTGAACTCATAGAGAGCCACCTGCTCTGCCTCTTGAGTGCTGGGATTGGGTGCCACTTTACCAGCTTAGAGAGGTTGAAACCTTAATGTATCATTTTCTGTCTTTTACCCTTTAGTATAGGTGAGAATAAGTCAGTGTGCTGTGTTAGATCTGAGGAAAAATGATTTCTTCTTTTTGTGTCTTAGAAACCTTGACTGCATAAACTAAAAATACTAAGCCGGGGTAAGAGGGTGAAGTGTTGGCTATTTGATGTTTAGTTTGTTCGGTGAGGAATGTGGATCATTGCTGATACTTCTTTCTGTTTCTTAGCTGGAGAGATTTACCAGCATGAGGATTAAGAAGGAGAAGGAAAAGCCCAATTCTTCTCACAGAAACTCGTCTGCATCGTATGGAGATGACCCCACTGCACAGCCGTTGCACGACTTCTCAGATGAGCAGGTCCTCATCTTCTTTGAGCAGATGCTGGTGAGTCACCTTCCGAGCGATGGCGCCCTCCCAGCATGCATTTGTGGGTATCTGTCTGTCTGTGCTAGTTGTTTTTAAATGCATGGTCTCCTAAGTTGATGTTTACTATAAAGAATTCTAGGCTGAATGTGAAATGTTTTCATATCAATCCCATGAAATAATGACTAAATATGTAAATTCCAGTCACAGGGTTAGCGTCTATGAGGTAAATGTGGGGATGTCTGATTACTGGCTGCCTGGCAGTACTCAAGCCACAAAAATGTAGCATGAGTGGACCAAGCCCTATGGTAGTGTGGTGACCACTTTGGGGCTAATAAGTCAGAGAAACTGAAGTGGGGAAGCATTTACAGTGAGCTCTGTACAAGAATAAACTGAGTAATACAAAGGCCTCCTTTGCCTGAGGTCCTCTGTTTAGTGGGGAATTTGGAAAGAGATTGTTAAAGCCAGCTTACTAAGTAGAAGGCCTTTAAGGATTGTAGTGGAGGTTTAGTTGTGAGCTATGTGTAGTTGTGACTTTGCTGGCTCTAATGAGAACAGGGACACTTTGAGTGGACACTCTGCAATGACCAGTGTAAGTGATTAGGCCTCAGAGTTCGGGCAGAGTTTGTTTTTTATGGCAGCTGTTCTCCAGTACTTTAATGCAGAAAACATTATGTATGGTTTCCTCTCAGTAATACAAAAGAACATGTATCGAGTCCATTGTTTCCTAGGGGAACCGTCAGAAGTGTGTGTATTTTAAAGTGTCCCGTGGTTTGAAGGCATAGCCCAGTGGTAGAGTGTATGTATACCCAGCTTGTGTGCCAACATGCAGGTATCATACCAAGGACAGTGTCTGTGGGGATCTGTACTGAAATGAATTAGATTTTATCCCTGAGGAATTTTTATTGGTTGCCATAACTTAAACCTCTAGGAATCAAGAAAAAAAATTTTGTTCAATAATAATTTACTGTGTTCAACTCATTGTTAAGTATAATAAATATTAAACATTAAAAACTTACAAGCGGCAGGGAGATCTCTGTGAGTTCAAGGCAAGCCTGGTCTCCGTAGTGAGTTCTAGGACAGCAAGAGCTACAGAGTGAGACCCTGTCGCAAAAAAACAAAAACAAAAACAAACAAACAAAAACTTAGAAGGTAATTTTATTTTTTTTCTCTCTGCCTCCCTGCTCCCTCCCTTTGCTAGGTGGATATGAACCTGAATGAGGAGAAACAGCAGCCTCTGAGAGAGAAGGACATTGTCATCAAGAGGGAGATGGTGTCCCAGTATTTGCACACTTCCCAGGCTGTAAGCTCTAGGGCAGATGCTCACAGGAGGCTGCATGCTTACTACGGACCTGCTTATTCTGCTAATTTGACAGAATGTTCTATGTCTCTATCAATCCTGCTTAATCCTGGTAGATAAGCTTGCTCTTGACTCACTCTTATCTGAGTTGCCACCATCTTTATACTTTTTCCCCTAACTTGTACTTAAATTCACGAACTATTTATGCATCTCGCATAGTTTGGTAGTTTGTGTAATGGGTGTCTGCCCTGGTATTTTTGAAACCGTGTTGGTGAATATTAGCTCACAACTTGTGATTGGCTCAGTATTTACTGACTTCTCTGTGCCTCTTTCCAGGGCATGAACCAGAAGGAGAGCTCTAGGTCTGCCATGATGTACATTCAGGATCTGAGGTCAGGCTTGCGGGATGTGCATCTGCTTAGTTGCCTGGAGTCCCTTCGAGTCTCTCTCAACAATAACCCTGTCAGGTGAGAATTCTGAGGTAACAGTCCCAGAAACTCATGCTATTGTTCATAATCAAGGGAGGCAGAGAAGTATGAGAAAGGTCTGGATTGGGAGTAAAGGGTTTCTAGGATAGATTTGCCAAATAGCCTTTATTGATTTAAGTTGATACTGCATTACCTTTCATCTATTCCTTACAGCTGGGTGCAGACATTTGGTGCTGAAGGCCTATCCTCCTTATTGGACATTCTTAAACGACTCCATGATGAGAAAGAGGAGACTTCTGGGTAAGGAATTTTGGGTCTTTATATTTTCTAGGTTGAGGGCCAAAATGGGCTTTGCATTAAGGGAAAAACAACAGTTATATTCAGAATCATGGACTAGAGGACTATGCTGTTGGATGAAAATGAGGTTTATTGTGGAGGAGATGGGAGGATGAGAGTGTAGAGGGAGGAAGATATGGACCAGTAAAGATGATTAGTTCTTTTTCTGTCTAGAAAGAGGGTCTGATTTCGTCTTCAGCTGTACTGTGATCTGGTCTGGGCCACATTACACTTGGAGTCTTTCTTGGAGTATCCTGTATTAGTTTGGGTTTAGCATTGCAGTAGTCTTCAGGATTGGCATACATTCTTGAGTATCAAAAACCATTTTAGGCTGCTGTGCTGCCATCCAAGGTGCCCAATACTTGTGGAATCTTTTCTGAGACAAACAGTACAAGGATTGGGTTTGTGTGTACTTTCTCAGATATGAAGCCTTTTGAGTGTTAGGCAAGGAGTGATAGATAGGATAGTATCTTGATAGAATTTAGTACCTGGCTGCCTAGAGGGAGTTAAGGGGTGGAGTTTTGTTTGCACACTTAACACACTTTTTAATAGTGTTGGGATTCAAACTTAGGGCCTTACACTTGCTAGGCAAGTATTGAACTGTTGAGTTATGCCCAACCCCAAATTGGCAGGTTTAATACTAAATCTAATGCTAATTTAGTTGAATACTAATAGAAATTTAATACTAAATTCTCAAATTGTAAGGGTATTAGTCAGTTGATTATCTTTGTTAGTGTTTCTGGGTCAAGTGCTTTGTGATGTAGGGCTGTACTGCCTTTTGACATCACAGCATAATGCTGTCATCTGTGAACATGCTGGGCTGCATTCATAACTGACAGATTCTACTGAGAGGCTAGTTGAAGACATTTTTAATGTCCTTGTTTGCAAGATTGAACAATCATATGGAAAGAGTGTGTATTATAAAATAAAGGGACTTCGCTGATCATGTTTTCTGTGTGCAGAAGCTACGACAGCCGGAACCAGCATGAGGTTATCCGCTGCTTGAAAGCTTTCATGAACAACAAGGTGAGGTTTTCCCAGTTGGACCCCAGCCCCTGTCTAGATCTTCATTAGTTCTCCTTTGTTAGCTCTGCCAGAGGAAGAAACTGAGGTTCAAGGCTTTGTCTCTCCTTTCCATACTGTAACTACTTCACTGCCACGTATAGGAGCCTCCGTGGAGTTCTTTCCCTAGTTCCGTTTCAGTGGGTAGGCTAAGTGTTCTTGTACTCTACGTTCTTTCACTAGTCTTGTTATTGGACCTGTAGTTATTGTTTGGGATGTTTACTTTATTTCCTTCCCTATTTCCTACATTAAATCGGTCCCAATCTCAACAAGTCCAAATTTCCCTTAAGTGTGTTTGAATTCGTGTTGCGTCTGCTCCCACCTCCCGAGTGCTGGGATTTCGGGTGTGTGCCAGTGTGCCGTTTCTTCCAGAATATTCATTCCTACTCTGGTATTTTATTTTTTAAAGACAGAGTCTCACTATACAGCCCTAGCTGTACTGGAACTCACTCTGTAGACCAGGCTAGCTTCAAACACACAGAGATTCCCCTACCTCTACCTCCTGAGTGCTTGGCTGAAAGCTGTAAACCACCACTCCCAATTTAGGGTTTTTTTTCTCGTTCATTTTGTATTTAAACTCTAGGAGCCTGTAGTTATTGTTTGAGTAGATATCTATTTTCTTTGCTATTTAATTTTTTTGTAATTAACCTACTCCTTAGGGTAGGGGGATGATGATAAAAAAATCAGTTTTTAATCTATGAAGACATAAAATTTTGTTGTATGTCTTAGGAAATTTACTTTGTTGTAATCATCTCTGTTCAGCTATTATTGGGAAAATATTCTCTACTCCTGTGCTAGTTTCTAGAGTCCACAAAGCAGGTGACTTAAACGACAGAAATTCATTGTCTCAGTTTTGAAGGATGGAAGTCCAAGACCCCATGTCAGCAGGACAGGTTCTCTCTGAGGCTGGGAGGGAGAAAGTGTTCCGTGTTTCTCTCCTGCTTTCTAGTTGCTCACAGGCACTGGGTTATCGATGCATTATTCTCATTGCCGCTTCCTGTTCTTGTGATGTTCTGTATGTGTGTGTCTGGGATGTGGATTTCTCTCTTATACGGGGTCGGGCATACTGGATTAAGACCCTGCCTTACTCCAGCGTGGCTTCATTGTCATTTAGGTCATCTTATCTGCAGTGACTATATCCCAAGAGGCTACAATCTAGGGTTCTAGGGGTTAACGTTCTTCCATGTATTTGAGGAGATAACACTCTACTCATCAAAGTCCTGCACGGCCCTTGTTTATGTGTGTTATTGTTAAGCCTCCTTCCTCTGTTCCTGTCTTACCAGTTTGGAATCAAAACCATGTTGGACACAGAAGAAGGAATCCTGCTGCTGGTCAGAGCCATGGATCCTGCTGTTCCTAATATGATGATTGATGCAGCTAAGCTGCTGTCTGCTCTGTGTATCCTGCCACAGCCAGAGGACATGTATGTGACCTGAGCTATTTCTGTGTTCTCATTTTACCGTTTCCTTGTAGCATAGAGGAAAATTGAGTTATTTAGGTGTCCTCTTGGTCTTAGAGGCTAAATAGTAAGGCCCCATTTCTTCTCAGAAGTGAATGTTAGGATCTTAGTGCAGGTAGAGTATCTGAAGATCCACAGTGCTTCAAACAGAAACTTTTTTTATACCATCATGATACTCCAAGTAGAAAATTCCATACTGTGAAACTTGGTTATATGTTTATTGTTATACAGTATTATTAGCAATACTGTATAAAATTACCTTCAGGCTATAAGGTATTTGAAACATGAATTTCATGTTTAGGCTTGAATATCATCCTTAAGATAAACTCATTTTGTGTATGCAAATCTTCCAAAAATATTTTTTTAAATGAACTGTAAGACATGATTTAAGGCATTTTGAATAAGGACAGTCACACCGATTTACGAAAAGATTGTATCTGGCAAGATAACTTTGAGTAAAGGCACTTCAGGACCTACCGTAGTAGGAGAGAATGAACCCCAGTAACTCTGACCTCCATGCGCGCACACACACACACACACACACACACACACACACACACACACACACGCACACAAATACAAATGTAATCCTTTAATTGAAAAAAGAAAAGGCTGGTGAAATAGCTCAGAGGATGAAGATAGCTGCTGCTGAGCATGATGACCTGAGTTCAATCTCAGGGACCTCCATGGGAAATGGGAAAGTGACTTCCACAAGTTGTCCTCTAATCTATGCATGTGAATGCACATATCCGTGTACACACACACACACACACACACACACACACGAATTAAAAAAATTAAGCTTCCTAGATGTTGATGACTGATGTGTCCACTGAAGTCTAATAAGGGGACAGAGAGATGGCTCAGGGGTTAAGAACATAGGTTATTCTTCTAGAGGACCCAGGTTTTATTCCCAGCACCCACAAGGTGACTCACAACTATCTATTACTTCAGTTCAAGGGAATCCAATACCCTCTTCTCGTACCTGGCACCAGGCATGCACATGGTACATAGGCATGCACATAGGCAGAACCTCACATACAGTAATAAATTGTAAAACAAGAAAAAGTGTAGCAGGCTTATGTCTTAGATAGGGTTTCTATTGCTGTGATGAAACACCATGACCAAAAGCAAGTTGGGGAGGAAAGGGCTATTTGGCTTACATATCCCAACTTACAGTCCATTGAGGGAAGCCAAGGCAGGAACTCAAACAGGGCAGGAACCTGGAGGCAGGAGCTTATGCAGAGGCCATGTGGGGAAGCTGCTTCCTGACTCAGCTTACTTTCTTATAGAACCCAGCACCACCAGCTCAGGAGTGGTCCCACCTACTATGAGTTGGGCCTCCCATATCAATCGTTAATTAAGAAAATGCCTAACAGGCTTGCCTACTGCCTATCTTATGGAGGCATTTTCTCAATTGAAGTTCCCTCCTCTCAGATGACTTTAGCTTCTGTCAAGTTGACATAAAAACCAGCCAGCACAGCTTGCCTGCTGCATCTCCATTAATATCTGTGTTACCTGGAACAGAGGTTTCTTTTTTTATTGTCATGTGTATATTTAATATTAGAAGCAGCCTATTATCTTAATAATCCAACCATATTAAAAGTAGATGAAAAAAAAAGTAGATGAAGTAAAATTTTAACAGCCCATTCCTTCCCCAAATCCTGCCTTGAAAAGAACCATTGCTAATGGCTTGGATAGAATTCATGGGCTTTTTTCTTTAACCATAAACATTCTGTTTCCTTGATTCTTGGAAATCTTGCAGTCTTAGAGCTGAGAAATGATAGTTCATGCCCATAAAACATTACATGTATACAACAGATTTTTGTTTTCTTGGAAGTGTTGGTTTAACAAAAGTAAAAATCATACCTCCCCCCCTTTTTTTTTCCAGCTCCCTGCCCCCTGTAGGTTTTTTAGGGCAGAATTGTTTTGTAGTCTGAACTGGCTACAAACTCATATAGTCCAGGCTGGACATGTCTGATCCTCTTATCTCAGACTCTCAAGTTCTGGAGTTACACATGTGTGCCACCGTATTCAGCTTTAGCTTGGTTATTTTTATTTAGCAGTAGATTTTGGACATCATTCTTCATTGGTACTTAATAGAGTTACCTTATTATTTTTAGTGGCCATATAACTGTGTGTGTGTGTATAAAACACACACACACACACACACATGCACACATCAAATACTACAAACTGATGCTGCCTTCTGTCTCTCTTTTTTTTTTTTTAACATTTCTTCTATTCCTAGACTTCAGGTATACTTATGCAGATTCTGACCTTGCTGTAGATGATAAGATTTTTTTTTTTTACTATTACTAATGATGCCATAACAAACATTTCTATACATAGTTTCTATTACATTTATCCTTTTGTATTAGATAGATTTCTAGAAATGGACCACATGTACTGTGCATTGGAAATTGATTAGTATTCTTAATATTAAATGATCCTTAAAACGTCAGAGTAATTTATATTTCATAGCTCAGAAGTCTTAATTTTGTATTCATGGGTAGGAGTCTAGGAAGGGTTTTAGGAAATTATTTTCTCAAAAGATAGTCCATTGCTTGTATCAGATTGTCGTGTCTGTGGGGGTTAGGAGAATAATTTCAGAAACCTGAGGCATTGCTAATGACTTGTTTCCTAATTGGTTTATTCCCTGTCAGATCCGTCCATGTCTGTCAGTGCACCCAGGCAATTTGCTTTCTTTTGTCTTGGACAGGAATGAACGAGTTTTGGAGGCAATGACAGAGAGAGCTGAAATGGATGAGGTGGAACGCTTCCAGCCACTGCTGGATGGATTAAAAAGTGGGACCCCCATTGCACTCAAAGTATGTATATGCGCCCTTAAAACTGGGTCAACAATAGAATAGAATAGAATAGAATAGAATAGAATAGAATAGAATAGAATAGAATAGAATAATTCAAAATGGAAAGACCAGAGTTCATTTGTCCTTCATTTTTCTGTGGTATGGGAAATTGAACCCAGGGCTTTGCTTATGCTGGGTAAGTCCCCTACTACGGAACTACCACTGAACAAGGAGCCGGGGGCCCTTTTTAATTTTTAATTTTGAGATATTTTTATTTCATGTTGCAGTCTGGACTGGCCTCAAACTCATTATATAGTCTAGGCTAGACTACTGATCCTCTTGCCCCCCAAGTCCTGGAATTGCACTTGTGGTAATTGACCAGGCAAGCATTGATCTTCCTGCCTCCTGAAGCATGGGTCTACACCACCGGGGCTAGTGTCATTTGGCCTTTTATAGACTATGTGGGGGCTAGAGAGACGGCTCATCAGTTAGGAGCATATACCGCTCTTCCAGAAGACGAAGTTCAGTTCCCAGCCTCCTTGTCAGACAGCTCACAACTGTCTGTAACTCCAGCTCCAGGGCATCTGACACCTCTGGTTAGGGTTTTTTTGTTTGTTTGTTTGTTTGTTTGTTTGTTTTTTCCTTCTCCGAAGAAAATGATTTTTAAAGAATTACTTTCCTCCTTATGACATTGGGGGAATAAATCAGTTATTTATTAGTACATTAGGAAAGTCAAGGTTTTATAGTAATGTGTTATATTAGATCCTTGGATTCATTAAAACACTAAGTATTCCAGACATGTGCTCAACAATGTTTTGTTGCTCTAGTAAAAAGTCTTTCCTATAGTTTTTATTCTGTATCTTTTATGGAGCTCCAGAATGTATATAAATAGTGGAATCCTTATCCATAAGGCTTAATGCTGACGTAGCAGCTGGATTTGCTTATTTCAGGTGGGCTGCCTACAGCTGATCAATGCTCTCATCACTCCCGCAGAAGAACTTGACTTCCGAGTTCACATTCGAAGTGAACTGATGCGCTTGGGGCTGCATCAGGTGTTGCAGGTAAGACAACATTTCATTAGAAAGGCTGGATTGTTCCTTCCTGCTTGCACAGTCCCGATTGTCCTTGAGGTGATTCTGGTTTTCCACTTAAACACCAGATTGGAAGGTTTGGATTTCTAGGCACATAGGAAATTTTCGGGTCTCCTGACTTCTTCTATCGTTGCCAGGAGCTTCGGGAGATTGACAACGATGATATGAGAGTACAGCTAAATGTGTTCGAGGAACAAGGGGAGGAAGATTTCCTTGATCTGAAGGGACGGCTGGAAGACATCCGCATGGAGATGGAATATCCTTTATGACTGGTGACTGGATTATGGAGCAGTGTGGAAAGTGATGACTTAGAAGAGGGTATGGGGCTGGCTGTTTGGCACATGCCTTGCATTTGTCTCCTAGCACTTAGGAGGATATCTTGAGTTTGAGACCAGCCTGCTCTGCATAGTGAGCTCCAGGCCAGCTAGGGCCACACAGAGAGACCCTGTCTCAAAAATATATATTTATTTTTAATAAATATAACTGTTGTCTTCATATTGCTGTCTAGCATAGACCAGGAAAGCCAGGAAAGGTGATCTTTTTAACGTAAAAGCATCCATCAGTCTGGCAGTCAGTGAAGGGATAAAGTAACAGATGTTACAGCCAGATTGCCCTGACATCCTAAAGCATCCATCCGGATCTGTATGTTTCCTAGAACACGATAACTTACTGAGATGGGCGCTATGTAGAACTCTCTGAACTGACAAGCAGTATTGCTATTGTGTATTTGATTACCGGCCACAGGTAACTTTGAGGTGGTTCTGTTTTTGTTTCTGCCGTAGATTGTCAAGCTGAGCACTAGGGATCCTCTGTTGATGGATAGCAGCACTGTTCTTGGTTAAGGGAACAGTGATGCTTTAGGAACGGCTGTTGGAGTGGAGGTGGCATCTTTTCCTTGAGCAAGTCCCCCCGCCCCAAAACAGCTTCTAAATATTTGATTTCCTTAGCCTGCTCTTTCTACTGACTTCGGTGAAGTCTTCCAGATTCTTTTAAACACAGTGAAAGATTCAAAGGCAGAGCCACACTTCCTGTCCATCCTGCAGCATCTCCTATTGGTCCGAAATGATTATGAAGCTAGGTAAGCTGATGTACCTGTGGGGGATTTTTGAGTCTAAGTGGAAAAGCAGCATCCTTAACTTCAAATATTGTTTTAGAAAGTTTAAAAAGAAATGAAAAAGATGGTGGGTTAGGTTCATTAGTCACAGATCTAAAGGAAGTTATCAACTGTTTGATCGACATCAACTGCTTTCATTCAGTTGAAAGGCACCTCTTTGGAATAGGTCATTGTGTAAAGTAAAATGTTCTTAGAAGGGAGTGGGTAAGTGGGATAAGGATGACAGTAGAGAGAGATGTTAATCTCAAACTCTTTCTGGTTGCCTGGAAGTAGAGAGCAGCAGTATATGACAAGAAGGATCGTAAGAATCAAGCCTGACTTCATTTAGATGTGAAGGTATTGGCACTGGGAAGCACATGTTAAGAAAGCACGTTGGGGGACGGAGGGATGGCTCAGTATGCATACTGTTCTTGTGGAGGACCCAGTAGTTCCCAGCACTCATATCAGCTTCCCAAACCACCTGCAACCAACCGTAATTCCATCTGACATTTGTGACCTCGGTGGGCACTTTCATACATGTACATAAACACAGATACACACACAATTAAAAATGAATCTTTATGTGTGTACATGCATGTCAGCGTTTATGCTTTCCACATGCTTAGCACATGTTTTACCGCTGACCTACAGCCCCAGCCTGTAAGAGCTGTTGAGTATCTGAAGTAGAAAGAATAAAAGCTGATCTAGAAGAGGAGACTTTCCTAGCACAGCAGTGGTGCTCTGTCAGCTTCATCAGAGCTCTTTTCAGAATACTTATCCTTAATTCTTTTTATTGTCAGAGCAGTTAACTTTTCTTGGTCCAGAATAGTTCTGGAAGTTACAGTTTGATTTCCCTTTGATAAGTCTCTTTTGTTCCTTTCATAGGCCACAGTACTATAAATTGATTGAAGAATGTATTTCTCAGATAGTTCTACACAAGAATGGAACTGATCCTGACTTCAGGTGCCGGCACCTCCAGATTGATATTGAGGGATTGATTGGTAAGCACGCTTTCCTACTCGGCTCCTCAGGACACTCAGTGCTTCTACCTTGTTTCCTTCTTTCAGTGAGATTTCCAAAGATATCATTCTTGTCCCTGTTTTTGTCCTTTCTCAGTGTGCCCTCTGTGCTGGAATTATGTAGTCTCTTTAGTTTATTTCTGCACAAATTAAAAATCTTCCCCTTTCTTATGCACTACTTTTTGTAGAGACTTCAGCTGTTTTCTGACCCTGCTGGTCTCAGAATCATAAATGTCGCACATAGGCCTCCTTCATGTGACTGCCTTACCTTGCACTTAGAAATCACAGCTTGAGGGCCAGCCACGTGGCAGTAAGTAGAGGTGCTTGCATGCAAGCCCGAGACCTGAGTTTGTGCCTCAGATTCCATATGGTGGCAAGAACCGCTGTTGAGAGTTATCACCTGACTTCCACACCTGTTGCATACACATGTCTGTATTCAACACATACGTGTGCACTCGTATACACTCACAGACACAAAAAGTCAAACAACTATATAAATAAAATTTTAAAGAAAGTGTAAGTTGTGTTTCATTGAAACTTGCATTTCTTGTCCTAGTGTAGCGCATTAAGAAGAGTAACAGCAGACAAGAAGGACAGACAACTGCCCTTGAGTGCATTGGAGGCTTAGGAGCAGAGGCGCAGGCTTAGGAAACCGAGAGCTTTACTTACTGAGTTGTTTTCAGATCAAATTGTTTTTTCTTTTCAGATCAAATGATTGATAAAACAAAGGTGGAAAAATCAGAGGCCAAAGCTACAGAGCTGGAGAAAAAGGTGTGTATGAGGGGATCAGTGCTAGAGTGCCTGCTCATTGTGCGTGAAAGCCTAGGTTCAGTCTCTAGTGTCAGCCACACATATGTGTATATGTAAAACAAACATATACAAGTAAATTTGGGATATATAGTTTTCTTTGAAGATAATTGTTTTTTGACATGTGAGACAGTCTGATATTTTGAAAGCATTCAGACTCGAAAGGTTCCTAGGGGGAAATCTTTTTGTTAGTGGGAAAGAGGGTATTGATGTGGAATGAGAAACTAGAGGTGTTTTGCAACGTTCTTGGGCACCAGGCAATCCAGCAAAGACAGAAGCTCTGTGTAAGTGTGCGCATCTTAAGTCTTACTCCAGGACAGTAGGAACTGGAATATGTCTCAATTCCTTTTATCTCTGTAGTAATTAAGGATTCCTGCTGTGGCTGGAATTGTGCAAGGCAGCTGTCCTGGCTTGTCGTAGGGTTACTATTGGTGTGTTGAAACATCATGACCAAAAGCAACTTGGGGAGGAAAGGGTTTATTTCACTCACAGTTCCATAGAACAAACAATTCATCATCAAAAGCACTGAGGGCAGGAGCTCATGCAGGGCAGGAACCTGGAGGCAGGAGCTGATGCAGAGGCCATGGAGGGGTGCTGCTTACATGGCTTGCTCAGCCTGCTTTCTTAAAGAAGCCAGAAACACCAGCCTATAGAGGTGGTCTTGCCCACCATGGGCTGAGCCCTCCCACATCAATCACTAATTAAGAAAATGCCCCATAGGCTTGCCTACAGCCCAATTTTACAGGGGCATTTCCCTCCCTCCCTCCCCCCTCCCTCTGTCTCTCTCTCTTTTTCTTTTTTGTCTTTTGAGACAGGGTTTCTATCTGTAGCCTTGGCTGTCCAACTCACTCTTGGGACCAGTTTGTCCTCAAACTCCGCCTTCCTCTGCCTCCTGAGGGCTGCCCCACCTCTGCCTGGCTTTAGGGGCATTTTCTCAATTGAGGTTCCCTCCTCTCTGATGACTCCAGCTTGTGTCAAGTTGACATAAAACTAACCAGGACGTGGTTAAAGGTCTTTCAAATCTCAGAATAGCTGACTTGGTTTCTAGCTAGAAAAGTAGGAAGAATATGAACAAGATCTCTTGTCTCCTCCCCGTTAACTTTGATGCTCTGGTCTCTTTTCAAAGCATTGCTTAGATGGTCAGGCAGCTCTCTAGCGTAGTGTTGAGACAAAACAGGGAATTACATAGCGCCCTTACGCCCCTAACTGGGATGAGCAGCATCCTAGTTTGCTTTCTGTCGCTGGGACCAGCACCACGACCTGAAGTAACTTGGGAGGAAAGGGTTTATTTCCTCTTCACTTGATAGTCTGTCATCAGGGAAGCGCAGGCTGGAGCTTGAAGCAGAAGCTAGAGGGATGCTGCTCACTGGCCTCTTACCATTGGCTTGATCAGCTGCCTTTCTTACACATCCCAGGTCTACTGCCTAGGCATGGCACAGTCCTGCATCAGTTAGGGTTAGGAAGCTGCTACACAGACATGACTACAGGCCCGTCTGATCTGAGCAGTTCTTCAGTTGAGGTTCCCTCTCCCCAGGTGACTGTAGGTTCGTCTGGCGTTGACAGCTGAAGCTATGGCGGAAAGATGGCTGGGAGTCTGATTTTTTTTTTCCTTCTTTAGTTGGACTCAGAGTTGACAGCCCGGCATGAATTACAAGTAGAAATGAAGAAGATGGAAAATGACTTTGAGCAGAAACTTCAGGATCTTCAAGGAGAAAAGGATGCACTGGACTCTGAAAAGCAGCAGATTGCAACAGAAAAGCAAGATCTGGAAGCGGAGGTGTCCAAGCTGACAGGAGAGGTAATGTCTGAGCAGGGTGGTAGTGTGCCCGCAGCTGCCCTCCATAGCTGGGCCGTGCTGGTCATGGGACCACACGGTCATAGGCTGCTTAGATTCCCCTATGCTAGGGAAGAGCAGCTGGATCATCGGGTCGATGGCGCGTGTTTAACAGTCATTTACTGGCTTTACTCTTGCTTTGGGAGTATAGTATATAAGACAAAGCATTTAGAAAATACAGAAAAATGTAAAGGATGATAAAAGTTACTTATGGCAGAGTCCAGAAATAATGAATGACTTGGGGGTAAACATTAACTATTGGCTTATTTGCCCATCCAACTTAGTCTATGCTTCTGTGACACCTTCCTTCTCTTTTCTCTGCACTTAGACAGCCTGCATTACTTGATCATTTGTACAGTTGGGGATTCACTGCATTGCCCATACTTGAGTTTTATAGTCGAGTAAACTCAAGGCACACTAACACTAAGAACGTGAAGACTTGAGTTCTGGTTTTACTCTACTCCTAAGTACAGTGTGACTTTGAGGAGAACCATGTGATCTGACCACTCAGTCCATCTACGCTAAACAGAAATTTGGATTTAGTGGTTTCTTAGTCCTTTCCAGCTCCAGTAGTCCTTGAAGTGGGGTGAGAAGTACTTATTCTGTGTTGCTTCTGTAGGTTGCCAAGCTGTCAAAAGAACTAGAAGATGCCAAGAAGGAAATGGCTTCTCTCTCTGCTGTGGTTGTTGCTCCTCCTGTTTCTAGCAGTGCTACTGTTCCCCCTGCCCCTCCTTTGCCCGGTGACCATGGCACTGTTATTCCCCCTCCCCCACCCCCACCCCCACCTCCTCTTCCTGGAGGTATCATTCCACCCCCTCCCCCTCTTCCGTTTGCAGGTACTAGCATCCCCCCACCTCCTCCTTTGCCTGGAGGTGCTGCTGTACCCCCTCCCCCTCCTTTGCCTGGGGCTGCCATCCCCCAACCTCCTCCTCTGCCTGGAGGTGCTGCTGTGCCCCCTCCCCCTCCCTTGCCTGGGGCTGCCATCCCCCCACCTCCTCCTCTGCCTGGAGGTGCTGGTATACCCCCTCCCCCTCCCTTGCCTGGAAGTGTTGGCGTTCCCCCACCTCCTCCTCTGCCTGGAGGTGCTGCTGTACCCCCACCCCCTCCCTTGCCTGGAGGACCTGGACTGCCTCCTCCCCCTCCCCCTTTTCCTGGAGGCCCTGGCATTCCTCCACCTCCACCTGGAATGGGCGTGCCTCCACCTCCCCCCTTTGGATTTGGGGTTCCTGCAGCCCCAGTTCTGCCATTTGGATTAACCCCTAAAAAAGTTTATAAGCCAGAGGTGCAGCTCCGGAGGCCAAACTGGTCCAAGGTAAGTTTTTTTCCCAGCATTAGATCTTAAACTACTTTTCTTGACTTATTTTTGTGCATAGGTAGGCTACCCACTGTTAGGGCTCACATCTGTTCTCCTTCAAGGTCTGCCTGGGTTTATGCTTATGCAGCATCTCTGTTTCAGAACTTACACAGAAAGATCTCTGGGCCCTATGTGAATACATCTTAATTCATTTAACCCGTCTTAATACATTGGCCTTTTCTCTGATAAAATGAGTGCTATGGTAGCTTGACAGCCCTCACTTGGCTGGGGGGGCAGATGACTGAAATTATGCTTGTACAGCCCACAGTGTGTTTGTGACCCCCATGGTTGGGTCAGTCTTTTGCTTCTAGTTAAACATAGCCAGATGGGGAGAAATGTAGAACAAGGAACATTGGAAATAAGACTGTAATGCTCATGGAACTAGAAGGTTTTGTATTAGGAGGAAGATCAGCATAACTGATTTTGATTCTTGACTAGTTAGCAGCAAACAGAGCAGAAGCATTATCTCCTGATCCCCCGTGAAGGGCACAGCTACTGTCTGTGTGCTGAGTTAGTCACAGGCTCCTCAACCTTGCTGATAATTGGAGTCACTTTGCTAGCACAGCGAGTTGAGAGTTCAGCCCAGAGCTCTTACCACCTGTCTGTTCATACAGTTTGTGGCTGAGGACCTTTCCCAGGACTGCTTCTGGACAAAGGTGAAGGAGGACCGCTTTGAGAACAACGAACTTTTTGCCAAACTTACCCTTGCCTTCTCTGCCCAGACCAAGAGTGAGTGCTCTCCCTGAACTTTTCCTTCCCTGGTGAGGGTAGAAGGGGGTTGGGAAGATTGAGTTTTCCATTCCAGGGAAGAGAGAATGTTTTTGTATTCTGGGGCTCCTGGGGCTGGGAGAGAGAATTGCTGCTTGTAAGTATTTTGTGTCAGTATCCGAACAGGGACACACGGTGCCCAAAGCTCAGCTTGGGCCCATTGATGGGTAGCTTGAATGGATTATGGTTCTGTCTTAAAGTGTTGTCTCCAGACCAGAGTATTAATTAGTGGGGTCAGCAAGTGCCTTGGACAGGTGGGGTGACTGATTTACAGCTGTCTACAATAACCAAGATCCATGTGTAATTCCTGTTCTGTTTCTTTCCAATATCTGATGCTTTTTCCTCCTGGCCCTTGGTTCCTGCAGCTTCCAAAGGTAAGAATGCAAAAGAGCCTTTTAGTTGGGTTGTTGAGTATTAGAGAAAAGGATTAAATAAAGGTAAAGGAGTTTCTCTTTAGAAGATGGAAATTTGCTGGTTTCCCTTCTCTCCCCACCGAGTCCTCAGAGACCCACAGTGATAGTGGTGGCAAAACAGGCTGGTTCAAGTGGAGGCTTCATGTACGAATTCCCTGTTGGCCCACAGTGAAACCTTATGAAACAGTGGATTGTGTTTCTTCTCTGCCATAACAAGTACAGACTGACCAGTTAGAGGGCTTTCCTGGGGTGATATTCCCAGGCTCAAGTGCTGTGACTTCTAGCCCATGGTTTCTAATAAATTCTTTTTTTCTTTTTTCTTTTTTTAAACCTTCATTGTGCTTGCCTTTATTTTAGAACTTTAGATTTTTATCAGGAAAGGGTTTGAGCTCTTCAAAATTGAGATGTAAGGAGGACCCAGATCTCTACAATATAACACTGTGTTTACTTTGTTTCCAGTGATGTAAACTGCACAAGGACATCAGTAAAAGACCGTGGTCCTTAATCCTTTCAGAAGTAGTTTTGAATACCAGACTGAATATTGAACTAGTTCAGTGTGCTGTGTTAGAGGGATTTTATGGTGCTGAAAGTTGAACCCAGGGTTTTATGCAAAGTACTCTCCACTGAGCTACATTTCTAGACCCCAGTTTAGTTTCAACACTGAAACAAGTGTTAGTTTCCAAATCTCAGTCTTAATACTGATAGTGCAAGTGAAGGAGATGAATACTCGTTATTGTGCTATGAATCTCCTGCCTCACAGGTGACGGGGAGATAATGGGTTAGATAGCATTCTAAACCACATAGTAAGTTCAAACTGACTTTGAAGTTTTGTTGTAGATCTTCGCTTCCCAGAAGTCTGCTTTTCCTGGGAACCTTGGAGAGCTTAGATATCCACAGGACTGCAGCTGCTTGAGCGTAGTCTTTGGTTGGCAGTGATGTCTTGTGAGTGCAGGCAGAAACATTAGATTAGGGAAAGCTGATGAGCTGCTGCGTGTGTAGGGTTAGAGAAGAAGAGTTGTGTTCTGATTGTGATGTATTCAACTCCAGCAAAACTAGTCCAGGTAGAGAGATAAGCCATGCTTACCAATATGGTAGAGGCCCTGCTGAGGTGTTCAGCAGTAGCCGGCCAGTGTTGATGAGGAAGTTGGTGGGCATTAGATTTTCTTTATATTACTTCCTTACACCCTAAACCTGACTTTCTCTCTGCTGTTTGGTAAATGTGTCTGTATTCCCTATATGTTGTACTGATACTTAAAAATTCTTTTATACCTATTAGCTCTAAGATAGGTATCCTCTAAGATTAGGCAATGAAGAAAAAAAAAATCTACTTTACACACCTGCTTCCTGTAGTCAAAGATGCCTTCACCTGCTGCTTTATTAAAGTTCAAAAATATGTGTGTTTCTGCTGAGCCTTTGGCGTCCACCTGTAATCCCAGTTTCTCAGACTGGAGCAGGAGAATTGCAGTTCCGATCTAGTAGGCACTTGAGAAAGGGCAGGGGCAGCTAAGTGCTGGAGCACTTGCCCTGGGCTCCATCCCTTGTACCACAAAGAAAGGGAAGGGGAGAGGAGAGAAGAAGAAAGTGTGCATCTTACTAAGAGACGGAAACTGATCCTAAAGTGGATGTGTCTGCTTCTCTTTTGGATTTACTTTCTTGTTTCTGAGCTCTTTTTTTTCCTCTAAAGGAGGAATTGACATAATTCATTCCTTGCTGGGAATGTATGGAATTCAGATTTGGTGGGTGCCACCCTTCTGCATTTTCACCTTGTTTTGTTGTGATTAGCAAGGAGTCTTTTATCACGGACTCTGTTGGTCCCGCCTTTTAACTTCTTGGGAACATACCCAGTTGTTAAATTTTTTAAATTCCTTCTTTATTAAAAGAAGGGGTGCTGGGCAGTGGTGGTGAACAGCTTTAATCCCAGTACTCGTGAGGCAGAGGCAGGCGGATCTCTGTGAGTTTGAGGCCAGCCTGGTTTACAGAGCGAGGTCCAGGACAGGCACCAAAACTACACACGGAAGCCCTGTCTCAAAAAAAAAGGAAAGGGGAAAAAAAAAGGAGTATTCTAGTTAGCTTTAGACCAAATCCAGCTTTACTCCACAGCTTGTTGCTGTTGATATAGGAGTCAGAGCGTGGGTGGCAGCAGGTAGCTGGCCTTCTGCTGCTCCTGCCTAACTTTAGTTTAGGCTTTGGGTTTCAGGAGGAGCCATGGGAGGGGTCAATAATCCCTTCCCCAGCAAGAACAGAGGGTATTTGCTATTTCCCTGAGACTTGCTTCTGTCCACTAGGTGGCACTCACCCAATTGTACTTTTATTAGTATTCACAAATCTTTTGCTGTTGATGTTTTTTGAGACAGGGTCTTAGCACTGGCTGGCCTGGAACTCACAGGGAAGTTTTGCCTCTGTGTCCCCAGTGCTGGGATTATAGGTATGCAACACTATGCCCAGCTAATGTTAGGGAATTTCCCCGTGTCTGCCACTTCAACTTCTAGAAACAAGATTGTAAGAGCTCAACCTACTTCCCCTGGTCAGTGAGTCTCTTGGCAGAAAGATAGCTGTTCCGTCTGTTTCTAAATGTGTAGAACTAGAGGTACTGTGCACAAACCTGTTGTGGTTGTCATGGATTTTGAGGAGGGTAGGACTGTTAGCACAGAGCATTTGAGAAGTTCCTTGTGCTCTAAAACCACAATCTACCCATTTGCTGGGTTTTAAGGGATCCGGCTTACACGATAATGTGCTGCATGTGTTTTGTGTTGTTACCTCTCTCCCCAGAGGTGTAAATGTGAGTATCCTTTCTCAGGCCTTGACATACTAAGGCTCTGAAGAATGATGTTATGCCAAGTTTTTATGGCCACAGGAAGCTCCACAGTCTCCGAGGATCCTTCTCCAGCTCCCGTATTTCAATCTCTTGAGATTCTGTGTATTTTTCTGTCTTCCAACTAAGTGCTCCAAAGTATTTCATTGTACTCTGTAGAACTGATGGTCTGTTCCTAGCACAGCATTGTGTGTTAGCACTTGACTTCCCTTTGGTCTCTCCTGTTTTCTTCTGTCATCCTCACCCCACTGGACCTGGAGACGGGGTAGTGCCCATGTTGTCCCCTGTCATTACTTTCAGACCCTTCTGCTTTTCTCTTTGCTAGAAACCAGCAACAGTGTGGAATCTGATACCAGTTTATGTCACCCACTTCGCTTTGTGTCATCATCTGTTGAGACGCTAAATGACTCTTGAGTTCTCCACAAACTGAGTTCCTGACCCTTCTTCAGTGCCACTTCTAATTTAACTTTCCACAATATCATTCTTTTTTAAGAATTTATTTAGTGAGTACATGGATGTGTACATGCTACAGTGCACACGAGGAGGTCACAGGGCAACTTTCAGGAGCCAGTTCTCTTCTTCCACCATGTAGGTCCCTTATCAAACTCAGCTCATCAGGCTTGGTGGCCCGTGCTCTACCCACTGAGCCATCTCCCAGCCCTGATTTTCCCCAGGTCCTGTATTAAGGGTCCTGATTCTAGTAAGAGTCCTGCTACACAAGTCTCAGTCCCCCGCCCTTTCTCCCCTTTCTTCCCCTGTGCTCATTATACATAACTGCAGCCCTTCGTCAGCTTAGTGTTTACCACCAGTGTGGGTCCTGTGTGCTCCCTGACCCATTTCCAATACTGAAGATCAGAACCGGGCCCTCACACAGCTAGGTAAGTGTTGAGCACTAACGGCGTATCTTTTCTAGGACTTTGACCCCAGCAATCCTCCAGGCACACCGGGAACTTCCAGCCTGTCGCATCTCCTTGATGACTTCACTCCTCACCTAAAACTCCTAAATGCCTAAACATTATAATAATCATTCCGCTGGTGTTTTTCTTCCATTGAGGGTCTCTCACTTCATCAAGGCAAAACCATGATTCTTGTTAATTCCACCTTGTCCACACTGGATCTGTAGTTGTGTATCTTTGAGTATTACTGGAGGAGACCACACACACCCTTCCCTTCTGGGTACACTTTCTTCTCTTAGCTTCCCAGATAGTAAGTGTTCTTATTTTATCTCATTGTCTGCTCTTGCTCCTTGTTTTCCTCTCCTCAGTTGCTATATTGCTTGGTCTTTGATATTTCTAGGCAGTTGTATCCGAAGTATTTTTGTTGGTTTGTTTAGTTGGTTTTTGACACAGGGTCTCATGTTTCCCATGCTGACCTTGAACTCAGTAACGTCGTCCAGTCTAGCCTTATACTGCAGCCCAGATTGACCTCAAACATAAAATCCTTTTGCCTCTCCTCAAGTGCTGGTATTATAGGCTGTCAAGTGCTACCACACTGACCTTTCAGCATTTCTGTTTTGTTTTCAGTTCTTATTCTTTCATTACATTTATTTAGTGTGGGTAGAGGCACAGCACACAAGTACCGTGGTGCACTTTTGGAAGTCAGAGGACAAGAGTTGATTCTCACGCCATGTGGAGCTGGGAGGATCAAACTTGATGGCCAGCACCATCAGCCACTTGAACTGTCTCACCAGCTCCCTTTGGGCATTTCTAATCTGCCCAGTGTCGTACTTTTCTAAATTGCTAGCTTCACACCTTTTCTCTCAAAGGCCCATCACTCCATAGAGAAAATTGAAGTAATCAGAATGTGAACTTCCAAAGCTTGTAGCACTATGTTCCTTATGTTCTGATACTGTAATCCTATCTAAAGGCAGTTCATGAAGGACTAACAGTCATTGCCACGATGTGTAGAATACACTGAAACTGTAAAACAAAACAGTCTCTCTTCTTCTCTGCGGTGACCATGGCTAACCATGCATGCCTTTATTATGCATATGTTATTCACATAATTAACTTAGATTTAGTTCATAGGAAAAAACAAGGGAAACATCAAACAACTTTATTGGAAAATTAAGGAACAATTATAGTAATAGCATATATGTACTTTTTAGTACAGCAAACTGATTCTACATGGTAAATACTACTCTGCATTC